TTGGTAGCCCAGGCTGGCCTTGAACTCACAGAGATCCGCCTGGCTCTGCCTCCCGAGTGCTGGGATTAAAGGCGTGCGCCACCAACGCCCGGCCTGGACCTATAATTTGACAGATCCCCTGTTATTGGGCACTTAAGACTATTGCCAATTCTTTTCTACATAAAGGCCTATTCAGCATTGCATTGAACTTAACTACTCTCATAAGTTCCTTTGGACTTCGAAAACAGGAATTGCTAAGTCAAAGGGGAGGCGCATTGCTGAGGCTTCTCACAAATTCAGTCCATGTGCTTTTCGGAAAGGCTGTACTAAGTGTTTACCTCTCGTGGCATCTGACAGTGTCTGCTCCATGACACACTACTTGACATGAGAATCTACACTCATTGAATTCTATAGTAATTTGAGGGCTGGAAAAGTATTATCTTGTTATTGCTTCTATTTTTATTTCTTTGATTGGTAGAAAGAGCTTGATTTAAAACATTAGCTACTTAATTCTAATTCCTACGACAGTACCTTAACTTTCTATCACCATAATGAAATTCTCACAGTAACCAACTTTCAAAGGGTTTAATTTGTCTCACAGCTTTGGAGCTTTCAATCTACGATCAGCTGGTCTCATTATACTTAGGACTGTGGCCAGGCAGCGCATCAGGGTCAGAGTGCATGGCAGAGCACTAAGCAAAAGGACAGAACGAGGAAGATCCAGAGGCCACAACTCCCTTTGCTGGCATCCTCTCAATGCCCCAAAGACTTCCTACCTCTCATAAGCCCCACCACTTTCAAAATGCTTCTACAAGAACTAAGGTTTTAGCACACAGACCTTTGGGGAACATCCCAGATCCACACTATAACACTCTGCTTAATTATTTTTTTGTCCATTTTTCTGCTTGATTCTGCATTACTTTTCTATAATGACACAACCAATTTTCATACTCCAGATTGCTTTAAACAATATTTCTTATCTCACACTCCAGATTGCTTTAAACAATATTTCTTATCTCACAGTCACTAAGGTGTTGGCCTGGCTGGGCTAAGCTCCTGTCTAGAAATTCTGTTTCAAACTTGCCTGGATTGTTGACAAAAATCCAGGTTTTTGTAGCTTTGTGCTGGTTGTCGGCCAGGAGGTCACTCTTGGTAGTTTTAAGCCTTCCAAATTCCTCAAGGCTGCCTAAAGTCCAGATCAACGGTATCACCCATCTTTAAATCAGTTACAGTATGCTGCATCTTCATGTGATTTCCCAGCAATAGAAAGTTCTACACTTTTAGGGGCACTTGTGATTAGATGAGACCCTACCTTGATGATCTCACCATTCCACTTTCATGTATGTCATGTAATATAACATAGTCAGGTAGTCGTGTCCTATATGCACGGTTCTGGGGATGAGCAAAAAACGCTGTTAGAAGGACAGTTTGGAACTATGACTGTCCCAGAGTCTTAAGTGTCCATTTTTATAATTTGTTTGCATGATGGATGATAAATCTATTGTAGTGGCTGTTCCATGGCACTTCCAAAATATCAGCTTGCCAGGTATGGTGGCACATCCATTGACACCTAAGACTCTAGTGTGAAACTGTACTTCCAAACATTGTTGCGCATCCCCAGGATCTATACATATGGACATCACTACCTGACTATGTTATACTACAGGACATACATGGTGGCACATCTCAGCAGAGGCAGGTGGGTCTCTGTGAGTTCGAGGCCAGCCTGGTCTACATACTAATTTTCAGGCTAGACATGCTTACACAGAGAGACTCTGTCTCAAAAAGCATACATATTTAATCCTCATTAAATCTTTGATGAGGTGGTTATTATTCCCACTTTACAGATTAGGAAACAGAAAAATTGAATAAGCTTCCCAGGATGACACAATGATAAAATGGCCAAACAAGAATTTAAGCTGAGGTAATGTGGCTTTAAAGATCTTGCTACAACCATGTCATTGTGATATTATTTACTATAAAGACAAACACATCAGACACTGATATTATTTCATGCTGCATGACATTTGCACACTTCTTGTCAATTTTTAACCTAATCTTGACTTCTAGCTAAAAGTTAAATTATGTTCACATATCTCTTGACCTTTTAAAGACCTAATTTTTGCCAAGGTATTTGTTTGCAGTAAAGGAAACAAACACTACTTGGTATCTTATTTTAAGCAAATCACTTATAATGTGTGCTATTCTATAATGCTGCACAAGTGCATACCACAATTTATCATAATTATTGAAAATATTTTAACAGTTAATATTTTAAGGAAAAATCAAGATGTTTCTCTCTAGTTCCATGGATCAAAGAAAAAAAAATAAAAGAGAAGAAAAACTGAATACCTTTACAGCAACAATGTAGTTCAATCTGCTTTACCTGTTAAATTAAAAAGCAAAGTAGACGTATAGGCTAGTCTCTACTTGCCATTCAAACTCAGCAGAATTGTTTCAGCTTAAGGGTTGGGCCTCAGAACTCCTTATGTTGTTTTTTGTTTTGTTTTGCTGTGTTGTGTTTTAGCTTAGTAAGCTTTTTGTACAAGACCAATCTGTCATCAGTCCTGTGACGTCGTTTACTATACATTCAAAATGGTCAGAGTCAACAGACAGAAAAAAAGAAATCGTCGCATTTCTCTGGGGCTAAAAGCTTGGCTGGGGTTTTGGTTTCTATGATTACTGGGGAGGGAGTTCCTAAAAAAATAATAAATAAATAAATAAAAACCGCAGGGAACAGATGACCTCATTCAACTACTTTCTAATTTGCGTTTACTTGATTCACAAAAAAATCAACACCGCGTCATGTCATCCCCTCACTCATCACCCACAAATGAAGTGCTCTCTCCACAAATGAAGAGCGACAAACGAGAGAGAGCAGTGCGTGGGAAGCATCCCCGCGACCCCGGCAAGCTCCGGGGATGTGTCAGCCGGTCCCTCCCCGCGCCCCGCCCGCCCGAGGCCGCAGCGAGGCGGATGCTCACCGTGGCTTGGGTCCGGTCGCCCGCGCGGCCTGCAGCCGACCCCCGGCAGGGCCCCGACCCAGGCAGCCCGCCCTCCTCACCGCCAGCGGCTCCGCTCCTGCCGCCGACCATCCCGGCCCGGCTCTGTTTACAAGCGGCTTCTCGCGGTCCCACTCTCAAATGCTTCCCCGCGGCAGCCCGGCAGCCAGACCCGGACACACAGGGTTCCGGCCCGCGAGGACCGGCCCCTCCTGCGGGAGGAGCAGGCGGCCAGCCAGGGCCTGATCTGCTTATCTCATTGTTTCCCATCCTGCCTTTATCACAACGCTCCTCCCAACGCCGAAATGGGTGTTTGCACTTCAAGTTGTCACTTGGATCCTACCAGGACAGGGTCAGCTATCAGTAGTTGCCATGGTTAAGAGAATCTCTCAGAAATAATGCTTTCCAAAAGTAGAAACAAAGTGCTTTTCATCTCTATTTAGGTGCACGAGTTGAAAGGGTGTGGTTGAGAGGGAAGGTCTCTAACCTGGCTGTGGATTCTCAGTGAAGCAGATAGGGCATTGCTAGGGGGTTAGGGGGAGGACCGATTGTCACCTCTCCTGAAGTCTCCCAGTGACCAGCCACTTTTGCACGGATGTGCTGTTCCAGTTGGACGGATCTTCCTTTCCGTTTCCAGACTTAATTCTCCGTCACAGCATACTTCTTAGTCGTTTTCCCAATTACGATCAATAAGGGAAGGGCTTGGTGTAGTGGTGCACCCCTTTAATCCCAGCACCGACACTCAGGGGGCAGAGGCAGGTGGACCTCTATGAGTTGGAGATCAACCTGGTCTACACAGGGAGTTCCAGGCCAACCAGAGCTACATAGTGAGACACACCCTGTCGCAAAAGCAAAAGCAAGCCAGGCAGTGGTGACACAAGCCTTTAATCTCAGCACTTGGGAGGCAGAGGCAGGCAGATCTACAGAGCGAATTCCAGGACAGTCGAAGGTACACAGAGAAACCTTATCTTGATAATCCAAACAGAAAAGAAAGAAAGAAAGAAAGAAAAGAACAAGAAAGAAGGGAAGAGAAAAAAGAAAAGAAATGAAACAAAACAAACAAAAACGTGTTATAGCTCCCAAACATAATATGTACTACATGGTAATTATGTTTTAAATTTTCAAATTTAGGACTAATGTCCAAAATATAGCCTGTAGTCAGGAGACTAAAGGTACTGAAACATGAAGCACAATTTTTCCTAGTTAAAAGGAAAAAAAAAAAAAGAGTCCAGCATCCTTTGTGTTTGGACTTCATTATTGAAAGCAAATTCAAAGTCTAAAACCTTAGATTGAAGAAAACAAATTCAAACACATTTCTCTTTTCTTTTTAAGTCCATGTTTGTGAAATGACTAAATTTGCTTCCTATCACTTACACAGGGAGCCAGTGATAACCTCATCCAAGAAGCCACTGGCTAGTTGTCATCTGGGAACATTTTGTCCCTCTAAATTCAAAATAGTTAAACTCATGCGGCCATTCAAGAGGCTCTCTGCTGCCATCGCCCTTGTTATTTTTAGAGACATTTTAGATCCACCGAGGAGTTGAGGAAGAGTTCTCACGTACCGCTGCGTATGGACAACCTCCCTGCCTATGAGCATCCTTCCCCACAACAGGACATCTGTCATCAGTGAACCTCCACAGGTACATCATCAGTCTATAGTTCACAGCAGGGCCACTGTCTTTACCTACACTGTACACTGACACCCAGGAAGGCCTCTGTTGAGCAGCCAGAACAATTTTAATATAGAACAGAAAGAATCGTCCAAGTTCATCTAGTCTGACCATTGTCCACAGCTACTTTCTCACTTCAAGACTTGTAGTGGCCGTATACTAGCAGGAAAAGTTCAGACTGTATTGCTCTCTACCCCCCTGGCATTTACCTGCTGATTTTCTTTACTTGGCACCTGTCTTAGTTAGGGTTTTATCACTGTGAAGAGACACCATGACCACAGCAACTCTTATAAAGCAAAACATTTCACTGGGGCTAGCTAGCTTACAGTGTCAGAGGTTTTGTCCATTATCGTCATGGTGAGATGCATGGTGGCATGCAGGCAGACCTGGTGCTAGAGAAGGAGCTGAGGGTTCTGCATCTTGATCCTCAGGCATCTGACAGAGAACTGACTTGAGCTTCTATGACCTCAGTGTCCACCCCCTAATGACACACTTCCTCCAACAAAGCCACGCCTACTCCAAAAGGCCACACCTCCTAATAGTGCCACTCCCTGTGGACCAAGCAGTCAAAGCTATGAGTCTATGGGGGCTGTTCCTATCCAAACCACCACAACACTCATACTTCCTTGGGAAACCTGTTTCTACCTCTAAGTCACAAGGTAAGAATGTAATCACTGCTAAGCCCATCCTACTATCTACAGGACCTTCATCCTGGTCATGGTGGTGGATCCAAGGATGGGCATTTGTATTAGTTACTTTGCTATGGGCAAATACATCACAAAAAGCAATCTTAGAGGAGGGTTTGTTTTGTCTTATAATTGAGCAAAGCAACTCCCGGGGCCAGTTCTCTGGTCCCAGAGATCAAGGCTGGAGAAGTTTTGCCCACAAACTAAAGCAGGGAGACTTTATAGGTTGCAGGCAAGGGGTGATGACATGTCCACCACAAGCTGGGTTTGCGCCCAAGCGTGGTCAAAAGCTGAGCCCTTTCAGCAGGAACTTGGGCTGCTGGTAACTTCAGGGTAGGAAGGTGCAGTAGCCACCAAGAATGCAGAATTGGACCTTTTGTCTCCTTTCCTTTGTTCAGAGGCTCTCTGAGGAGGCGGGGTATGGAGAGAGACGGGAATGGGGATTTTCGTGCAGGGGGGAACTAGAGGTCCCAGCTGAACACAACAGAAGGTGACTTTTTTTGTTTGTTTGTTTGTTTGTTTTTCGAGACAGGGTTTCTCTGTGTAGCTTTGTGCCTTTCCTGGAACTCACTTGGTAGCCCAGGCTGGCCTCGAACTCACAGAGATCCGCCTGGCTCTGCCTCCCGAGTGCTGGGATTAAAGGCATGCGCCACCACCGCCCGACAGAAGGTGACTTTTAATCTAAAACGAGGCCTATCCTCTTTCCCACCAAGAATAAGGTTTGCTGTTACAGATAGATTGGGGGGGGGGTGCTACCAGCTCACAAAACAACAACAACTAAAAACACAGAGACAGGCTTATAATTAATTATGAAAGTTTGGCCTATAGCTTAGACTTGTCCCACTAGCTCTTATAACTTAAATTAACCCATTTATATTCATCTACGGTTTGCGTTGTGGCTTTTTACCTCTCTTCCATCTCTCACCTCCTGTTTCCTCTCTGTGTCTTTTGGTGTCTCCCCAGAGCCTTGATTCATCTCTTCTTTACTCTCTGCTCAGAAGTCCTGCCTCGCCTCTTCCCGCCTAGCTATTGACCATTCTGCTCTTTATTAAACCAATCAGAAGGTGCCTTGGCAAAGACACATCTTTGTAGAAGTAACCGTCTTATTAAATAAGAAACACAGAGCCAATACAGAGATGAAAGCCGAGAGATCAGAGCAATAGCTAAGAGCTAAAAACCTTACCCTTCACTGTCGCTGTTGTCCTATCTCTTTGAAGGAGATCCACTTCCTGTGTGTCTGTCTGTTTCTGTTCTGCCTTCTCATTGGTTGTAAACCCAACCACATGACCTCCTAGTCACTGCCTGTCTGTACAGACCTCCAGGTCTTCTATGGTTGGTATTGAGATTAAAGACGTGTGTCTCCATGCTGGCTGTATCCTTGAACACACAGAGATTCGCTTAGCTCTGCCTCCCAAGTGCTGGGATTAAAGGCGTGCACCACCACCACCCAGCTTCTGCTAAGGCTTGCTGTTAGCTCTGACCCCCAGGCAACTTTATTTGTTAACATACAAATAAAATCACATTTTAGTACAAATAAAATATCACCATACATCTCAGTGTACAGAAAAAGATTATTCCACAACATACTATGGTGGCAAGAAAGTAACAAAACTTTGTTATGTCCTCAGAACGAATCTGCCTGAAAACAGTGAGAAATTCACCTCACCAGGATAGTGCTCCATCAGGCAGAATATGAGAAAACAGATGGGGGATTTCAGTTTCCAAGCCTAGGCCTGCCTGGTCAACAGGACATTTGTCAACACCTTGGCTACTAGGTGCTAACCTATCTACTGTGTCCCACTGCATCCTGGTGTGGACCACATGGAGACCATTGCTGCTAGACAAAGTTCCAGCGTTTCAACTTTGCGGATCATGGTTCTCCAGCACCCTTTACTTTCATTTTTAATGATTCTCACTATGTGTTCCCTTATGCTTTTTCCTTTGGGAGATTTTGTGTGGGCTTTCAAGGATGAAAATGTACAAAATGGCAGCCTCTCTAAACAAAATAATTCTTTGGAAAAAATCCCTGTCACCATGGAACTACATACCAAGATAACTTTGCCCACTCCCATACAAGCTGCTAGAAAATTTAGATAAGTAACATATGTTTGATAAATAAGGTATATTTGATAATCAAGATTTATAAATTCCTAAGGTCTACTGAGGTCACAGTGATATTTGCCTAATTTCATCTTCACTTGCTTTTGAGCTTTAGCTATTTGGATCAACTAAGCCACACAAGAAACTACAATATTCTATATTAGAATGCCTGATCCCCCGAGAAAGTCCTTTACCCGAGGTCAGACATTTAGACAAGTCCCCATCCCCTCAGAGGCTTGAAAGAAAGTTTCTGCTTGCTAAAAACAGACATTCTTATCTCTGGCAAGAGGAACTTGTGGCCCTTTCATTAAGATAGGACTGCTGCATATTAACTTGTCAAGGTCAATGCCAGCTTCCTAAATCCCGGATCACAAGCCACACTCCAGCTCACATCCTCCTTTCTCCCATGTACTCCTATGTGCAACTATAGAGTATGAAAGGTGTATTCTCTTTTCAATAAATGCTCTTGTACCCATCCCGATTCACCCTCAGATCCTGTTTATAGTACCCCGCCCTCCCATCCTCTTTGGGACCGATGTAGCAGAACTCTGGCAGCATCCACTCCTCAGGCCTTAGAAGACTATGCTAATCCATTTTCTGTTGCTGTTACAAAATGCCAGAAAACAGATAAATGATAAGATTAGAAGTTTCTTTTTAGCAGTTTCTTTTGC